GGGTTTTAAAAATATCACAAGTCACTGTTGTGATTGAGTGATCCCAGCTTAAAGTGAATGGTCTTGCAGTCCATTGTCCATTGTCACTGCATGCCTCTGAAGTAGTTTTCTGAAGCAGCTTCTTGGACAGCTTGCCTAACTCTGCCTGCTGGTTGTATCATTTGTCAAGTCACTTGTAAGCATATAGCCTGTATTAGTCTGCTGAGCTGCTAGCGGTTACTTTTGGTAGTCTGTGTGCAAGAGACTTGTTAGCAAATAGTTGCCAATCCAAGTGTGAGACTGTGGCATCTGAATTTAGCTTTGGAGGCCTGCAAACTGCAGAACCTTTAGAATGGGTCTTTTGAGTCCGAACCATTGAGTTATTTGTAGGCTCTGACTATCACTTTCTCTGTATGTTTCTGCAAAATTCCTTGCATTACTTAAGTAAGTGGGCAGATAACTCTGTCTCTAAATTGTTTCTAGCAACCTTTGGAAACATCAGAAGTTACTGTCAATTGACCTCGATAAAGTGGCTTTGCCCAGTTTTCGACAGAACCGACCCCAAGTGAGGCCATTGTCCCCTGGAGAAAGCGGTGCATGGGATATTCCTGGAGGTAAATATTGAAAAGTTTGAAAGCCACTGTTTTGTTTTGCTTTTTGTATAAGCTTTGAAAAAACAAACAGCACAGTCAGAAGAGAGGCCGTATGTTTATTTTCAGTTGTGAAAAACTTGCCAATAATATTGTGGCTATGTTGTAACAACCTAAGAGAAATAGTTTTGCATGTGAATAGTTTATTCAGAAGCATGTGTGACATACTGAGAGGAAGATTTTGATGGGTGATTTTTGGGTTGTTGAGGTTTGTTTTGGTGCTGTTTAGACTGACAGGTGTCTGCAGCAGTCCCTGTCCTTAGGAGCTGTGGCTGGGTATCTCCTGCTAATTAAAATTCCGTGTGTCAGTGCACAAGAGCAAAGTTCAGAAGAGTTTGAATAGTGCCTTGGGCAAGGTGTTATACTAACAAATGATGACGAGCACTTGAAACAGATTTAAATCTAATGGTGGGCTGCTGTCCTGTGCAAGCTTGGCACTGCAGGTCCTGCTGGAAGCAGTGTGAAAGCCTCACATGAAAGCTGCTAGGCCAAAAGATACCTGCGAAAACAAAGCGTCTGGTTCTGTAGCTCATTCTCATCATCTACATGCATAGTTGCTGGAGCAAGCGCTCAATCAGTTTTCTTATAGCATCGGGATTTGGTGTGATTTGTAGAAATTAGTGATAAAATCATGGTCAAATGTTTGATCACCCTTCTAATGCAGAACAGACGATTGTTGTTGCAGGGGAAATCTGGGTTATACTTTCATGTGCCCAAATAAGTAGAGGTGGAAATGCTTTTCTGTAATATTTGCATCCTTATTTTTGGTAATCAGTCTGCAGTTGTTAATCTCCCTGTCTGAGACGTAATCTGATTAATAGCTGTTTTGTCTTTGAACAGGAGTTACTATTGGGTCTTTTGGTAGATGGTGCTAACACTGTGAAGACATTGTCGTTCATGTGGTCACTAGTCACTTCCAAACCTCTTTGCCTTTCTAGGTATAATGCCTGGCCGATACAACCAGGACGTAGGACAGACTATTCCAGTCTTTGCTTTTCTTGGTGCCATGGTGGTTCTGGCGTTCTTTGTGGTACAGATCAACAAAGCAAAGAGCAGGCCAAAGAGACGGAAACCACGAGTGAAGCGACCCCAGCTCATGCAGCAGGTTCACCCACCAAAGACGCCTTCGGTGTGAAAGCTCTTGCTTGCCAAAGATGACCTCCTTGTACCAGCTGCTTTCCTGGGCCATCCATGGTCCCCAGTGAAAGTGCTGGTCGTGTTAGTGGTCCACACGTGACATCATCTCATAGTCTTTGGTTGAGTAAATAAAAGGACCTCAGTTGATCGTCTGTACGTAAAACAGCAGCTTTGAGCAGCCAAAGCCACCAAAGACTTGAATACAGTTTAAATGGCTGCTTAGTCACTACATATCCCAAGAGGGGCGAAAACAGACCTTTTTTTTTTAAGCTGACCAAACGAAAATTTATTTGTTTAGAGGCTATTTTCTATATTTATTTTTGGGGAGGGTGGGGGGAAAAGTCACTTTAAGGACCTCTGCTAAGGAAAAAGTGCATTTTTTTGGATGGAATGTAATTTTCTAGAACGGTATTATGCTGAAGAGTAACGTGCACCATGACAGGAGGGAAGGGGATGAGGTAGACCAGTATAAACCAGTGAGACATACTCCTGCAGTTTATTTTTATAATGCCAACTACCATGATGTTTTTGTAATTTTTGGTCACGATTTCACCGTTGTTGGTGAAGCAGATTTTCAATAAATATGTTATCTATATGAAGCAAAGACATGTGCTGCCTGGCTCTGCTTTCCACTGCCGGTCACAGAGAGCAAGTTGCAGTCCAGGCTGCAGGCTTTCCTTTGGAGCACAACCTGGGGAGTGATGCAAACGGCACTGGCCCCTCAGCAAGCACAGAAGAAACTTGTGTGGATGGCACTAACAGCATAGTGTGGTATGTCACAAAGCCAAAACCCTTGTCTCCTTTTGTTTGTCCTGCTTCAAAGCTTACAACTGATCAGAGATGATCGGAGGAAGGTCAGACTCATCAAAGATGCTCCAAGGCCTGGAGCATTCTGGAGAGAGGCTGAGAGACCTGGGCTTGTTCAGCCTGGAGAAGATAAGGCTCCGAGAGACCTTAGAGCAGCTCCCAGTGCCTAAAGGGGCTACAAGAAACCTGGAGAGGGGCTTTTAACAAGGGCCTGTAGGGACAGGACAAGGAGGAATGGCTTTGAATTGGAAGAGGGTAGATTTAGATAAGGTATTAGGAAGTTCTTCATTATGAGGGTGGTGAGACACTGGCACAGGTTGCCCAGAGAAGCTGTGGCTGCTCTGTCCTAGGCAGAGTTCAAGGCAGTGCGCCATCCCTGACAGTATTGGATAGGGCTTGGAGCAGTCTCGTCTAGTGGAAGGTGTCCCTGCTTGTGGCAGGGGGTTGGAACTATGTGAGTATTTAAGACCCCTTCCAGCCTAAACTAGTCTATGATTCTGTGATTTGTTGCAGGTTTAAATAAGGATGCCCTTATTTAAAGGCACAAGTTGCCCCTGACCATGCAATGTTGGTTAACATTACCATCACTGAAATAGCTTTTCTCGTTTGCAGTGAAGCTGCAAGGTTTCCCTGACAGCTGCTTTTGTCACCGCTGCAAGTAACAGTACATTTTCCTAAGAGCAGGAGAGAGCTGGTGGCTGCCTCTGCAGCAGAAGCAGTGCCCAGGAAGGAAAGTGGTATATACCAGCAAATGGTCCTGGCGAGCTCTCAGGCAGCTCACCGGCACCAGTACCACCCTGGGCATGCCTGGAAGGGGAGAATGCCAGAGACAGCCCCCCTGGGCCATCTGACTACACAGTTCAGGGCTTACAGTCATGGCTTGTGGTGGTGGGCCTTGGGAAGGGTGTTGCAGGAGAGAGTATTTCTCCATGTAGCCTGGAGCAACCTCCCAAGAGGTGGCTGTGGTTAGGGTTTTGCAGTACACAGGTGTCCTGCAAAATGGATTAGGAAAATCCATTTTGCCTAACCCAGAGACCAGTTGGCTTTTCCCAGGCTGTCTTCCCTTCCAAAGATGAGGATGCACTGAGGGAGGCAATATCCTGTTGCCGAGACACAAGACACCAAACTTTTGCTTTGGAGCTGTTATTGGAAGCTCGTTGGGGCTGAGGGGGTGGTCCTGATGTTGGGCTGCTTGGGCCATCCTAATGGCACTGGAGTGAGCCCCTGGAGTGAGTCCTTTCTCTCCAACCATGGACCTGTGCTGACAGGGAGGGGATTTTCTCCATCTCACCCATGGCATCAGGGTCTCTTGCAGGACCAGCCATCTCTGCAGGGCATAATGATACAAAAGAGCTGTCAGTAAAGGTGTAAGATCTCTAGGGCCAGACCTTGCAAGTAGCAAGGCGTAATTGTAGTTGATGTTTTTATTTGTTCAAAACGAGCTACTTGCATTCATGTACCTTTGACTGTCTTCAAAGACAATAATGTTGAAAATAGATTGTCAACCTTTTTCCATCAAAAAGAAGAGAGGAGGGCACCTGCTGAAGGGACGCAGTGGGTAAAGCTGCCAGCCAACAAGAACCTCAGGTTCTGGCTTGTGGCCCAGTGGCTGGAGCACCCAGATAAATGGGAGAAAGAGGGAAGAAAATAAGGGAGCTCAGAGCCACTGAGCAGAGAAATTGCTTGGGGCTGCTGTGCTGGTGTGGGAGGTGGGCTGCATCCCTTTGATTTTGAGGTACTTCCATCAGAGGCAGCCTGGAAAGCTTTAGTCCTAATGAGGAGGGGCACTAATGAGAGATGACAGTTCCACTGCAGCATTCAAACCAGAGTCAAGCTCTATCAAAGCACCAGTCCGAATTAAGAGCCTTTCCCAGTGGCTGGTATTTTACAGCCCAGTGGCCAATTTCTAAGTCATAGAGGCCAATTATTTCCAAAGCCTTTGGTGTGCAGCTAATGAAGGCCTGGAAGGGCCCTGCTAAATGGTTATAAGCCCCGTAGGTGGCAGAGATGTAATGGAGGTGGCAGGCACAATTAGCCATCCATAATTCCTCCTAGCAGCTGATTAAAGTCTCTTTATCCGTCTTACCAAGATCAGAAGGGCACATATTTGGGAAATCAAAAATGCATTAGGGGCTGTTGGCCAGCACTGGGGGCCTGCGTGCAGAGCCCTGCGGTGGTGGCATGTACTGAGAGCGGCACAGAGCTGCCCATCATCCCTGGGGGGTGTACCCTTCTGTGTGGCATCCCCTGTGGCATCAGTTACCCCATCCTGTTGTCCTAGCACCCCCCTTCCCTGTTTGGAGCAGGGGATGGGATGCTCCGAAGATGTGGCACCTTACTAAGGTCTCCTGAGTGCAGGAGCACCCCAGTGGGCTTTTAACTTCTGCAGAGACACTGAGGGGTGCTGGCCTCATCCTGTACTCACTGGTGAAGCATTCATCAGTCAAATGGTCTGCAGGGCACTCACTGCAGCTCCCTTTCCTCACCCTCCCTGATCCGGGATACTCCAAAATGCCCTGTGGTGGGAATTGTGTGGATGGGGTGAATACCGCTGGAACGGGGAGCCCCCTCGCTGAGCCCCGTGCTGGAAGCTTCTGGGGCTGCTGGTTTTCCTTGGTCTGAACGAGCTCTTTGAGGCTTCGGGGTGGCCACAGGCAGCGGGATACGACCGCTGGTCCCGAGCCGGGGAGGTGCATGAACCGCGGTCCTCCCCCTGTCCATCCACCCGTCTTCAGGGCGATGCCGCTGCCCTGCCCCGAGATGCGGCAGGATCAGAAGGGGGCACTGGGAGGGGGGGGGTCCCAAGGCCGGCTCCTGCCCCGCCTCCCCCTGCCCACTCCCCGCTCCCCGCAGTAAGGGGGGTCCGCGGAGGCCCATCGCAGGGGTCAGCGCTGCCGCTGCACGCCCGGCGCAGAGTCCCGCCGGGATGGAGCGGGCGGGCGAGGCTCGGCCCCTGCTGCCGCCGCCGGGTCCCGCCGGACTCTCCTCTGCCGGCGCCGTCTGCATCCTGCTCAAGTCGGCGCTGGGCGCGGGGCTGCTGAGCTTCCCCTGGGCCTTCGGCAGGGCTGGCGGAGCTGTCCCGGCCCTCCTGGTGGAGCTGGTAAGGGGGGAGTGGGGGTCCGGGACCTGAGCGAGGGGCTGGCGGCAGCGGCGTCCTCGGGGAGGCCGCCACTGCGCTTGTGGGGCAGCGTCCACGGCCCAGGCCAGGCTGACGGGGGAACAGCCCGGGTAGGAGCTGCCACCTTAAAGGTGCTCTTTGCGTCAGCGTGACCTACAGTGTAATTGCGTGGCTGGTATCAGTTGACAGGCTGGAAAAATTGGGGCTGTTCAGCCTGGAGAAGAGAAGGCTGCGTGGAGACCTCATAGCAGCCTTCCAGTATCTGAAGGGGGCCTATAGGGATGCTGGGGGTGGACTCTTCATTAGGGACTGTAGTGATAGGACAAGGGGTAATGGGTTTAAACTTTAACAGTGGAAATTAGGTTAGATAGAAGTTCTTTAAGGTGGGTCACCACTGGAACAGGTTACTCAAAGAAGTGGTAAATGCTTCGAACCTGTTTGTGCAAGACCAGGTTGGACAGAGGCTTGGGCAACATGGTCTAGTGTGAAGCATCCCTGCCCATGGCAGGGGTTTGAAACTAGGTGATCTTAAGGTCCTTTCCAATCCCAACCATTCTGTGATTCTACCCTACATGCCCTAAACCACCAAATCTAAACCTAAAGCATCACCTAGGGCTGGTTTTCCACCTGTCTGCTGACCCATGTTACCTAGATAGCCACCTAATAGCTGGCCATGGCCCTGCTTGTCCTCCCTGGGTCTGGCAGTGATGTGATGCTTTTTGATGGCTCCTGTCCCCACAGGGCTCGCTGATCTTCCTGGTGAGTGGGCTGGCAGTGCTGGGCTACGCAGCAGCCCTCAGTGCCCAACCCACCTACCAGGGGGTGGTCCGGGCTGTGTGCGGGGCAGCAGTGGGGAAGCTCTGCGAGGTCTGCTTCCTCCTCAACCTCTTCATGATTTCTGTGGCCCTCCTCAGGGTGGTGGGTGACCAGCTGGAGAAACGTGAGTTGTTTCCCTTCTGTAGCTTGCTGGGGATTGAGGGGAAGGTGGTCCCATGTGGACTGGGAGCAGCCCCAGCATTTTCTTTGAATGCCTGAGGTCATGGAGCTCCCTGGCCCTGCCATGGTATAGTGCTCCAAACCTCCTTGGGCCACCTTTTGGGCACAACTGACATCCTTGCTGCTCCCCACAGTGTGTGACTCCCTGTACCCCAATGGGACGCTGAGTGGGGCCCCCCTGTCACCTCCCTGGTATGCAGACCAGCGCTTCACCCTCTCAGCTCTCTGTGTCTTTGTCATCTTCCCGCTCTCTGTCCCCAAGGAGATTGGCTTCCAGAAGTACTCCAGGTACCACCTGGGCTACCCCTATGGTGTAGCCACCCCATGGCACACTGTACCCCAGGCCACCTCCTCCAAGGTCTCTGCAAGCACATGGGACCCTCCCCGCCACCTCCCCCCCCCCCCCGACTTCCTCCTGGCTGCCAGGGGTCTGTGTGCTGATGCCCTCCCATGCCCCTGCAGCATCCTGGGCACGCTGGCTGCCTGTTACCTCACCCTGGTCATCATCCTGAAATACCACCTGCAGGCAGAGAGCCTGGCCTCACCGGAGCCCTCCCAGCCCTCCAGGTAGGGGGGGTCAGCCCCACATCCCTCCCACTCTGGTCTCTATGGCATTAGCATGGGCAAGGGGTGGTCCTGGGTGATAGCACAGGAAGGAATGAGCTGGGTACAGTGCTGGCAGGTTCGTGAGTGGGTGGCAGCCCCAGCTCCAGCTTTCACCCCAGCAATCCCCTCCTCCCAAAATTACTGGGTGAGAGGTTCCTACCATGGCATCCAGGCTTCACAGCTTATGCCATGCTCTGCGCTTCTTCCCCTCCATGCCACAGGGCATCCTCCTGGGCCTCCATTTTTAGCGTCATTCCCACCATCTGCTTTGGCTTCCAGGTAGGTCACCCTGGCACCACTGTCCCCTGCTTCTGGGGCATTGCTGGCAGCATCCTGGACCACAGGGACACTATTCCTTGCAGTGGGGTTGCAGGGAAGGGGACCCATTCTGCACCCAGGGGTGACTGCAGGGCAGGACAAGAAGCCCCTGGGGATGGGTGGGAGGGAAGGCACTGGGTGTGGGGGTTGTCCCTGCATGGGGCCCCAGCACCACCCCTCCTTGTTTTGCAGTGCCACGAGGCCTGTGTGGCCATCTACAGCAGCATGCGCAATCAGAGCTTCTCACACTGGATCGCCGTCTCTGTGATCTCCATGCTCATCTGCTTGCTCATCTACTCCCTCACGGGTAACCCCAGCACCAGAGCCCTTCACCTCCACCTTCTCCCACTTGTCCTCATCTTTCTTGCGGCTCCTCTGTCCTCCTCATGACCACCCAACTCACTGCTCCTTTGACAGGGCTCTATGGCTACCTGACCTTTGGGGAGGCTGTGGCACCTGACGTCCTAATGTCCTACCCAGGGAACGACCCGGTTGTCATTGTTGCCCGCCTGCTCTTTGGTGTCTCCATCATTACCATCTACCCCATCGTGGTGCTGCTGGGCAGGTGAAGGGGTGGTGGCCAGCCAGGTGTCCCCTGGCCAATGCAGCTCCACTGGGTGCTATCAGCCTCCCCGTCCCCCCACAGGTCAGTGGTGCGGGATGTGTGGGTGACCCCCAAGCATGGAGCCATGGCAGTGGCCGAGGCGCAGGAGCAGCGGAGCCGGGTGGCACTGACAGTCACCTGGATGGCCACCACGCTCACCATTGCCATCTTTGTCCCAGACATCGGCAAGGTCATCGAGCTCATTGGGGGTATCAGCGCCTTCTTCATCTTCATCTTCCCAGGCAAGAGTGAGCAGTGGGAGGCAGAGGAAGGGTGTTGGTGCCAAAAGCATTGTTGGTGCAGGGTGGGTGCTGTGGTGGTGATGGGTGATCCTGGCCCCATTTTGGGGTGCAGGGACACATGCATGGGGACACTGCTGCGGGGCCTGGGTGAGGGGTGCCAGGTGGTGGAGCTGAGCCTATGTGTTGGTGGCAGGGCTGTGCCTGGTGTGCATAACTGGGACCCGCACCCTCGGGCCACGCAAAAAGTGAGTGTCTGCACACTTGGGAGCGGTGGGGAAGGGTAGGGGGACAGCATCCCATGGTCCATGGCTCCAGCAGGGTTGCTGGGGTCACCCTGGCCAAGGCAGGAGGAGTCTCATGAAGAGGGGGTTTCGGGCACCTGTAGGCACTGACAGCAGGAGCCTGTGGTGGGGCTGAAGAGTGGGTATGGAGGGATGCTATCCAACACTGGGGATGTGGCTGGGTACGAGGGTTGAGTCGAGGTACTGGGGAGGTGCCCATAAATTGGGAGTATGTCTGTGCATCAGGGGTGTGCCCAGGAATGAGGTTGTGCCTAAGTATGAGAAATGTGCACAGGGATCAGGGATGTGTCTGAATACCAGACCCCTTGCAGCAAGGTTTAAAGGCACTGGAAGCACACAGTGGGGACTTGGGTGGGGGTCTGAAGTCCATGGTGCTCCAAGGCTGCAGAAGCCCATGTCAGGGGGACCTGGTATGTTTCTGGTGAGTTTTGGGGTAGGTGTGTGCCGAAGTGTGTCTGTGCTCCTGGGGGAGTAGCAGAATCTGAGTGAGGATGGAGGTGATGTGTGTGGGGTCCTGTCCCGCATAGCAGCTGGTGAGAGCACACCAGGACCTTGGGGTCTTGGCCAGGATGGTGCACTGGGGGATGCATGGCTATCTGGGCAGGAGGGAGGGTGCCCTAGGGATGCCAAAGCACTGGGAGACCAATGCAGGCAGTGAGCAGTGGCACCGAGGTGAGCAGCAAGGACTTGGAGAGTTCCATCAGGGAGACCCACCAGAGTGTGACCTCGAGAGTGCCATCACCATGAGAGGGGGACAGCATGAGCCAGGGAGATGGGGACAGCGATGGGACAGTCCCAGCCTGCCTGGGGCAGTTCGGGAAGGCGCACAGTGCTGATGACCCCACGATGGAGCAGGAGCAGCACTGTTTGGGGTGAGTGCTACCTCCCAAGGGCTTGGTGTTTGTCAGAGGCTGTGTGCCTGGGGAGAGTGCGACAGGGAAGTGCAGACCCACAGGTAGCAGGGCTGGGATGGAGCCGGGTAGGGGACATGTGGCAATGGAACGGGGGGTATGTGGAGATAGTGTGGATGTGGCTGTGCTTGAGCTTGGGTGGGGGGGCAGATGTGCCCTGGGCCCCTTCGGCAGGGCCACCGGGTGCAGGCAGAACCGGGGATGGTCTCATGGTGGTGCTGTCAGGCTTCTGACCAAGTGTTGTGTGTCTTTGCAGTGGGCATGTGCCGGAGGAGCTGCTGGGGTCTTCAGCCATCCGCGATGCAGAGGAGCGTGGCAGAGGAGGCTGAGACCCACAGAAGGCTCCACAAGGGTTCAGCGGGTTGCATGTTACTGGGGGTCAGTTTGGTCCCTCCAGCCCCTGCTCATGTTCCCGCAGGGCAGCTCTCATCACCTGGGGTGTCCTCTCCGTGCTCGGTGGTGCCTTCGTCTGCGGGCAGAGCGCTGCCCTGGCCGTGCTGGGGCTGCTGCGCTGAGGGGCCATGGACCCGCCTCATCGTGCCCCCCAGCATGACACCCCCACCATACCCTCGGCACAGCTACACCGCTGGATCTCATCACGGTTTTATTTGGCATGACCATCCCCATTATATAGAGGCTAATAAAGACAGGAGAGGGAATTGGTGAGGGCCCTGTGCCACACACCCCTCCAAGGGACCCCCACACAAGGTGGGTTGGGGGCAGGATGAGCAGCGAGCTCCTCACATGCACAGACAGACACACAGACAGAAGTACAGACCCCAGGAAGGGGGGCATCGATCCCCACATCTGCAAGGCACCCACTGCCACCATGAAGGAAACCCCTTGGGACTACCCACACCTCACAGGACTAAGGGACACCCCCTTCACCACCACCCTGACCACCTCCCCCTACTCATCGTGGGTCCCTATCCCTACAGGCACAGCCCACTCCCCTAGGGACTAGCAGGGACCCCAAATTACTTCCCAGGGGGTCTTCACCCTCCTGCTCCCACTCCCTGTTCCTCATCACCAGCTGCCACTCCCTGCCCACCTGTGCACTGGGAAGCCCTCCCCCCCCCCCCCAAACCCTGTGAGGGGAAATCCCCCACAGCCCACCCCACTCCAGAAAGAGGTGACCCAGGTGATGGGGTAGCTGGGGCGGAGGGGACTCTATGGGGTGCTGGGGACACACACAGGGGTTTCCTTCACTACAGACAGGTCACACTGACCCACACAGGGGTCACGGCCACCCCACAGCAGGGCAGGCACCAGCGGTCATTCTCGGCTCAAGATGCACCAGGCAGCTGCAGGGGACAGGACCAGAGGGTCAGCCCTGTCCAGCTCTGCATCACCCTGACCCCCAACCCCTGCTCCCCACACTGGGAGTGGTGCCAGCTGCTCCGGGGTCCCTGTGCCCACCCCAGGGGGTGGACACCCTCTTACCTGGCACAGCCACACTGGAGATGGCCTCAGGCTGGCTCAGAGTGTCCACCTTGACATGCTGGAAGCCCTTGCAGGCAGCACTCTGCAGGTGCCTGCACCGGGGTGGGAGACAGTGGGTGACAGTGTCCCACCAAATCACCGTCCCAGCCCCCTTCCACCCCATCACCTCTGGCAGGGGCTGGGTGACAGCAGCCTCTTCATCCTCAGGCAAAGCACCCTGCCATGGCTTAGGACAGTGAGACCTCCCTCCCACCCCCTGTGTCCAAAGGCACCCCCAGGTGGGACATGCACAGAGACATCCCAAGCCCCTCATACCCTTTACAGTGACAGCCCTAGGACAGACAGACATATCCTCACCCCTGCCATGCAACAGTGGACAGAGCTTGGGGCTCAGCAGATCCAACACCCCTCCACAACCAAGGACCCCACCCAAACCAAGGTTTTTTACCCCTTCCCTACCTCTTCCAATCCTCCTCAGTCTCCCAGAACTCATAGATGATGAAGGTGACCCCATCGGGCAGCTTCACGGCGGTGACACTGGCAGGAGTGAGGAGAGGGGTGAACCCCAAACCATGGGGCATCCCCCCTCCCCTCTCAGCCTCTGCAGCCCCCGAGGGGTGACCCCAGCCCCAGCAGTCCAAGTGAAGGGGAACTCCCAATTCAACACCTCACCCCACACAAAAGGGTTTTGGTGGCCGGGCATCACTGCACCCCAAATCCTGGCTGCTTTGTCTCAGCCCTTCACTTGGTGGAGTGCCCCTTGCTGCAAGGGCAGCTGGACACCCCTGTGCCCACCCTCAAGCCCCCCATCTGCTGGTGGTACGCACTGGAAGCAGTCCCGCTCCCCGGCCACGCTCTTCAGGTACTGCTTCAGAGAGCTGCAGAACTCGCTCAGGTGCTTGTGTGACACCGTCATCTCATCTCGCACCAGGAGGAGGTACTGCCGGGCCCCCAAAACACAGCAGCATGACAGAGACCAAAAAACATGGTGACACCCCCCCCACCCGAGGGCAATGCCACACTGCAGGGACGCCCCAGCACCCCAGGGTGTTCTCACCGTGCAAGCCGTGCTCTCACTGTCTGACAGCCGCTGGTGGAGGTCAAACCAGAGGGTCTGGGGAAGGGGAAAAGCAGTGGGAGGGTGGGCTGAGGTTGTGTGTCCCTCCCACGCTGAGGGGTTTCTGACCCCAGTGCTTGGGGACATGATGGGCTGTGCCCCCTTCTCTGCAGGGAGGGCTCTGAGACCCATTTGCCCCTTCCATCAGGACCCTCTGCAGAGGCTCCCCAAGCAGCCAACATCCTCACCACCATGCCCTCACACTAGCCCCAAGACAGCCGTCACCTTTCAGCCCCTGATTGTCCCTTGGGTAGGGGAACCACCCCTCCTCAGTGCTCACTTGTGCTTTCCCAGCCCTTCAGACACTCTTTCCTTGGGCAACCATGCCTGACACTTTTCTGCCTTCACCCTTCACAGCACCTCTCTGCCCCCATGTACAGCACCACCTTTTCGCTGCCTCCTTACGTCCTGAAAGTACAAACCAGGAGGATTTTGGAAACATCTCTTGTACTAACATTTTCTCTTTCGGTCCCTAGATGGAGTAAGGCTGCCTCTGCAAGAGACATTCCCCTTTTCCTTATGTTTTTTTCTTTTTTAAATAAACTCACAGTTAATCATTCCACATTACAATAGCTGACATCAGCTTATCAGACGTAGTATCCTCCAACCCCACCATCACCCACCCAGCTCCCACCACCATGCACTCATGCTCCCACCACCACCACTTCTTGGTCATCTCAGTGCCAACCAGGACAGGAAGCTGTGGGCCTCAGGGACAGCCCCATGTGTGGAAACGCTGGCCCTTACCTTGTCCTCCAGCTTGCCAATCAGCTCAGCCAGCCTGTTGATCTGCCCCTCCAGCCCCTCCGCCTTGGTGTCAGGGGAACCTGCGTGGAGCCAGGAGGAAGTGATGGAGAGGCCTGCCTCCGTCTCCTCTCTGCCTCCCAGAGAGGCACCCCTGGGCACCCTGAGAGCCCTGCTGCCCTCCAGGGAAGTCCAGCATCACCTCCACGATGCTGCTGGGACCGCAGCTCCTTCCCTGAGCACCCTGAGTCACCTCAGGCTGTGAGTGCAGCTGGAAGCAGCCGTCACTTACCACTCTGGAAGGTCTTCCCCTGCTCCCTGGGGACCATCCAGCTGGTGGGAGAGTAGCTGGGCACAGGGCTGTCATACCAGGTCTCCATCAGACCATGGCCTGTCTTGCTGGGGTAGTGCCTGCAACCAGAGAGCACACAGGCCATCACGGAGGGCAGAGCTGGGCACATACAGTTGAGTGTAAGCCAGTCCCGAGGAGCTAATATTGGAGCGTCCTCTTTGGCACCTCTGCCACCAGCTCCAGACCCCTTGGAGAGCAGCAGTGTTCACACAGCACAGGCTTCCCTTCAGTGCCATCCTTCAGCATTAAAAGCAGCATCAGCAGGTTGCTCCCAGCAGCCATTACTTTTCTGCTTAGGAAACACTTGGACTGCCCATCTCTTGCAGCCTGCAGGGATATTTACTCCTCTAGACAGACACCACACCAGTGGGGCACCTGTAGCTGTGCCCAGGCAGCTGGCTGCACCTTAGTGGGGCTGGTTTTGCAGTCGGGTAGCTTTGGCTACTAACACATGGGAAAAGTGGGTGTCATGGCTGCTAGGCATGCACCCCACCGGCAGGCTCTATTTGTCCTCGACAATGGAGACATATTCACTGTAGCGGCTCCTCCAGCTTGCTGCTTCTGGGGCTACAAAGCCCATTCAGCCTGGGTCATCCTGCATCACCTCTTGGAGAAAAGCATGTATGTGTGTGTATATATACACGCAGGTGCTCGTGCATCCACATACCCCTGAGGCATCAGTGACCACCCAGTGGTCCCCCCAGGCCCTCATTCATTTGCAAACTGGAGAGGATGCTAAGACCTGCCATCCCAGCAAGGGTTTGTGGCTGCCATCCCTGTGTGGCAAGATGGGAGTGGGCTTCAGGTAGGATGACCCTCTCTTTCCTTCCTCCTCCACTGATGGGAAGCCTGAGCTGCAGAGGCTGAGCTTCTCAAAGGGTTTTCAGTGTTTCCCTCTAGCAAGAGCAGCTCTGTGCTGCCTGTCTGTTGATGGAGGTGCCTGGGAGCCTGACTCCTCTTGGCATTTCTTACCATTCACGCAGTTCACAATGGAAACAACATGCTGAATGCCAGGAGCCAATACGCATAACACTGGCCAGCACTGTCCTGCCCTCCTGTCCCTCCCCAGGCACCCAGCTTCCTCTGGAGTGCAGCAGCTGGGTGTCCTCTCTACCTTCCCTGTCTACCCTGAGCAATTTCAGATGGCTCCTTTGGTGCAAGGTCTGGGCTGCTGTTGTCCCTGCAGATCAGCTGATGGAGACTTGACCATGCACATGGGAACATGACGAGCAGATATGGCCCTGAAGAACGTTCCCAAGATAGGGAAGCAAGCATAGTGATAAAGAGGGCAGGAACATCCTTGTCACTACAGACTGTGCGATAATCCCCCTGCCTGTGCTAAATAATCCCCTGTCAAAAGGCAGGAAATTAGGTGATAACAGACAGAGATTTCTTTTTAATCACAATTTAATGAAGTGTCTCAGGCTTGGACATCTGCCTTTGCACTTCATTTTACAGCCCTTTATTTTGATGCTTTTTAGGCCGCCTCTTTGTCTTCATGTGGATACATGAGATCATATTTTGTGGGTTTGTTAGTGGTTTTTTTGCTATTACCACCATGACAAAACAAGTACAATACTACTCATTATGAACTGGGACCACACATCAGCAAATAACAACCAGCAAAGTCTTTCATGGGTTCTAATTGCTGTGTCTTACATTGGGTTTGTTTTCTCCTCATTGTTTCCCTTTTACTTTTTTTTTGTACAAAGTTCAATACTGTCTCTTTCCAAAACAGGAAGAAGAAAGTGATATATGGGATGAAAACCAGAGTATCCCTCCTAAGAAAGCTGATGAGATGTCACCAGAGCTGCCCAGGGTCTCACTGCTGTCCCCAGGCAGCAACAGCTCCAGTGAGAGCAGACCAGTGCTGCCTGTCCAGGGTGCAACTGCTGCTGATGTTAAAACCCAAACCACCAAGACCTGGCTGCTGTGAAGTATCTGGGCACATCAGCCCCTGTAGTGTCCCAGTGGGGAGCTGGGATTTCCAGGTGGTTTGGGGA